TACTCTGCCAGCAGGGCTCCCTGTATGTATGTATGTATATACATATTCCACTACAGATACACAAACTATTAGTATTGCAGAGCCAGTGAAAAAGTAGTTAAGAAAATGATGAGTCCTCTATAAACCAATTCCATATCCACTGATTACCTAAACAGCACTGAGGCTATAAATAAGCTGAGGATATAAATAATAATTCTCTACAGAAGCTGAGCATATACATATGAAGACTGAAAGAACAGAAGAAAACTAATTAATGAGACATGAGAATAAGTTTATTACAGAGAAAAACATTTTATAAAAGTTCAGAAATAAGAGATAAAAATCTGCTGCAACAATTTTCTTAAAAGACTTTATCTAGAAAGGTTTCACTCGTGAAACTAGTTGGGAAGTGAAATACAGTATGAAGCACACCAGTTTAACCTGAGTATTTGTGATACTTGAAACAGCTATTGAAGTTAGTTGAATAGAGTCGATGTAGTACTTGACATGATTTCCCAGTGAATGACTAGAAAGCACCACCAAGAAAACCAGGATCAAGTTATAAAAGCAGAATGTCAACTGTGATCATTTGGAATTGCAATGACTATGGATTTTTATTAGAACTCCAAAGTGTTCTGAAGGCAAGGTGGCAATGGAACACTTTTCAAGTAGAATTCTATATTCTATATTCAGTGAAAATATTCTTCAAAAATAAAGATTAAATAAAAACATTCTACAAAAATTAAATAGAAGCACCATCATCAAGTCAATTCCTACTTATAGTGATCCTATGAAAAAACTCACTACGAAACTCACTGCCATTGACTCGATGTGAACTCACAGTGACCCTATGGGACAGGTTAGAACCCCTGTGAGTTTCCCAGGCTGCGGACCTTGTGGATCACAGACTATACATATTCACGGGAGCACACAGCTTGACATTTGTCCCACACAGCAGTTTTCAACCACTGACTAAGATAAGGGAAAACTGAGTCTTTGGTGTTTTTCTATTTCCACTTGTACCTGTATTGCTTTCACCCCTCTACAGTCCTTGGATTATGCTGTTCTTTTTCCAGTCCTTTAAAATGGATACTTGGTTCATAAGTTTCCAATTTTATGTATTTAGGTTATTATTTTCTTCTATACCACTTCGCTGTTTTTTACGTTTTAATATGTTATAATATTTCCTGGAATCCCTTAATGATTTATTTGTTGTTCAATGAGTTTTTTGGTTTAAAAATATACTTTATTTTAATATATAGAAGAACTCTTGTTGCGTTATCCCAAGCATATTCATGCCTAACCAATTATTTTATGACCAGAAATTATAATCTGTATGATTCCAATGAGAAATCAGATGCTCAATTTTGTCATTCATATTGTCCAAATCTCTAGCCTCATTATTATTTGTCTGTCCAATTAAGGGTATAGTGGGTTATGCATTGGGTGCTAACCAAAAGGTCAACAGTTCAAAACCACCAGTCCTTCTGCAGGAGAAAAGTGAGGCTTTCTACTCCCATAAAGACTTAACAGTCTGGGAAACCCACAGGGCCAGTTCTACCCTGCCCTACAAGGAACTAGGAGTCAGAATCGACTCAATTGCAGTGAGATTTTTAAAACTGAGTTATATAAAACAAAAAACAAAAATGCTGGGACTTGGGGTTTGTCAAATTTTCTTTCTACATTTATCAATGTTATATATAATCTGAGGCTATGATGCATATTTTGAATCATTATATCTACCCTGTGAATTGAATATTGGTATACAATGACCCTATTTCTAGTAATATTTTTCTCCTCTAAATTTATCTTGTATGATACTAGTATAGCTACACTAGCTCTATTTTGTTTTGGTGACTTTAACTACAATTAAAAAGAACATGGGGAAGCCCAGGCAGCTCATTATGGGGAATAGAGGTACTACATTTACTCTGCAGAATGGGTCTGTGAACTAAAGTGGCTTGGGACCTTGGCACTAGGATGGGGACTAAAGGCCTCCGCAGTCATTTGGAAACATCACAGAAAACAGGGCTCATGGACAGGGCTGACAGAGTTTCCCTAGAGTCACGGAAGCAGACGAGCAATCCCAGGACCATCGACTTGTCGAACAACAAGATCTACACAGCCTGCCACCTATACTGATAGAGAAGTTCACTCTGCTGAAGAGCCTTCTCCCTGAACAACAGACTGACTGTTCTGTACAATGAGTTATGCAATCTGCAATAGCTACCACCTGATAGAGCTACCTTCTACTTTGAGACATGTCTCTGTTCTCAAGACCCTGAACCTCTCCGAGAATCAACCACCCCAATTTTGTATCCTTCAGCTACAAAGAGTCGTGATGGACCTCTCCGAGAACCAGATTTGGAGTATGCCTGACTTTGTGGTGAGCTGCAGGTCACTGAGCTCTACCTCAACCAGAACCTGGCATCCCACTCAGGTCTCAGTGAAGAGATCTTGCTGTCCTTGTCTCAAAGTTCTTCGCCTGGAAGAGAACTGCCTTGAGTTCGGCACCCTTCTGCAGAACATCCTTAGTGATGTTCAGATATGTCTGCTTGCTGTAGAAGGCGGTCATTTTCAGCTAATGAAACGTTGAGAACTGGAAGGCTATGATAAGTACCAGGAGAGATTCACAGCCACCAAGAAGTAGTTGACATGATGTTCTCTGAGAGCATGGGAAACTGAGGACACTCACTTGGAACCTGGCTGAATCAAAGGCTCCTGCCGCTGTCAAGGATATCTGAAATAAGATGACACTCAGAATTCTTTTCAGGACTCACTTTAAGCTACGAGAAATGATCATGGCATGGCAAGAGTCTTCCATTTGGAATCATGGATAGGGCAATGGGCAATGCTGATCATCATTTGTTTAGCTTTAAGAAATCAGATCCTAATCGCTATTTATGCAGTGAAGGGGTGCTTCTTAATTATAAAATAGTTCCATGTCTCAGCTCCAGATTTTATTTTTAGTTTAAAAGTGTGAGCTTGCAAAAAGTCAGCTGCCATTCCATCTGTGTTAACTTCGTATGTCTATGAAATTCAAAGTTTCTGAGGGTACTATGGTTAATCTATGGTTAATCTGGTGGTATGGTGGTTACACTTTGGGATGCGATCTGCAAGGCCAGCAGTTAAAAACCACTCACTGCTCTGCAGGAGAAAGACAGGGACTTCTATTGTCATTAACAGTTACTGTCTTAGAAACTTCAGAGGGGCAGTTTTACCCTGTCCTACAAGGTCGCTCTGAGTCGACATCAACTTGATGGCAGTGTGGTTAATCTAAGGGTTTGTGAGTTTACTGCTGTCCATCAGTTCAGTTGTAGTGTCTCTGAAGAGAGAAAACTGTACATGCAAAACTTTTTGGAAGGAATTGTAATAATCAAGATCTTCCTGAATTTTTGCTAAAAACAATGTCTTATTTCTTTACCCCCTTTTTGTATTTATAACGCTATTAATCACATTATCTATCAAGAAACCAATGCTTTACTATTTTAAAACAATTTATGTTTACCAAGTTTATTCTCCGAATGAGAGAATATACTAAGGATTGTTAATGAAAGATAGATACACAGAACATGTGTCTTCTTGCATTTGATCCATCTCAAAACACGACTTTAATCTGCACCAGTATCTTCCTTCCTTCCATATCGTTCCCCACTTCCTGCAGGTCTCTGTAGCATGTAATTACGATTGCTCAGCTTCCATGGTTGTGTGTCTTAGCAGTCTTTCCAAGTGGCTGCTAAATGTAGGCATTTCTCCTTTGTCCCCACAGGGCGACCCTCCAAAAGTCCATTTATCTCCAATAGAAGGTTATTTCAGAATCAAATAAAAGAATTTAAGAAACTTCATAAAATCCAAATGTATGTTTAGGCTCATGGACCCACTGTCCATACTTCAAAGGTGGAGCAGGGCCATTTTTATCTTTAAAGAGCTTCATCATCAACTCTATTGTCAACCGATGAAGAGTGTTTTCAGAGAACTTTTCCGACAATCCCATGGCTTCTACTTTTGCTTATTAATATAAGATTAAAAAAAAAAGATTCCCACATCGACATCTGATTTTTTTCCCTAAGATTTATTCCAACAGCCAACTCCATATCTTCACTAAGAAGTACTATCCTATTCACACCAACCATATTCCAAACACATCTACTACCATTTGTCTCAAACTAGTCCTTTTTCTGTCTTTTATGTTTCTATTACTACTATGCTTCTCCAAATTATCCAGGCCTAAAACACAACTAAGGAGCCCAGGGGTGTAGAAAGTTATGAATTGGTCAGCAGTTCAAACACACCAGAAGCTCCTTGAGAGAAAGATGAATCCTTCTGCTTCTGCAAAGACTTATAGCTGCGGACACCCACAACTTCACTACTACTCTGTCCTGTAGGTACGCTATGAGTTGGAATTGACTTGATGACAGTGAGTTTGTTGTTTTCTTTTCTAGAAAACACTAACTGGAAATTCATTCTGTGCTTAATCACAACACTGCAAATTTGAGCTTTTCTAATGTAAGTGATTTAGACTAGCATCTTACTAAGCCATAATGACTTAATTATACTTATGTGTGTCTTCCACTCTTTATAGCAGCTAGGAAAAAGTCTAAGCAAGATTAGATAAGAGAATACATGAATGTTAAAACAAGCCTATAAGTTAATCAAAGAATAAGTCTTTCTAAAATGGTCACACAGAACAAGATAAAAATGTATACATTTAGGCAACACCTGCAAATTTGAATAAAGGTAACACAGAAAAAAGATGTGGAACACAGAAGCCAAACAAAGGGAACAACAGAAACAAAGGAGGAGTCATCTATTTGCGATAAAATGAAAAAGGTATAAAGTGAGAGTTGAGGGAAGATTGACAACTAGGTGTGAAGGGGTCCCTTATGGGGCTCCTGTTGATCAAAGTTTCCAGCCTACACATTTCTTCTCTCTTTAAAGGGAAACTTTCCAGCCAACATTTACAAAGTGTTTCTGTCTCATTGACTAGTTAGTGTGTAATAGTTTCCTTGTGTCTCACTTACCTGAAGGGAGGCCTCTTCTTCTATCGCCTCTCCCCAGCCAAGGTGCTTTCCCTTGTTCCAATAAGGAAACCACATCTGGCTTAGCGATGGAAAGACCTGCTTAGAGAACATGAGATAAACTGAAAATCGTCCTTGAATTCCAAGAAAAGAGAGGAAAATGTCAGATGTAAATATGACAGATGTCTAAAGATTAGATAAAGCTACAATCGTAAGAACTAGAAACAAATAAACCATACCTTCTTTGGGAAAATTTAGCCAGGTAAGATTCATAACCACCACCCTAAAGGGCAAATTCTTACTTGCGGGGAGATGAGGGGGAATACTTACCCAATGAGACCAGGTGGCCATAGTTCTCCAACATTACACATCTGTACAAATCCTTTTGAGCAGGCTGAAGCCATTCCCACTCCTCCTGGGAGAAGTCAATGGTCACATCTCTGAATGTCACAGACCCCTGAAATGATAAACAGATAGCTCCACAGCACGCACTCATGTTCCCAAAATGCCCTGTTCAAGGAATGAAGTCAGGAAGAATAGCATGTATCAGAGGCCTTGGGAGATTTCTGAGTAATGTCACTCAAGTAATTAATGTATTTAACTAGAAGCCTAATACACACACAATATATATATAATATATATATATACACACACACACATTTCTATAACTACATATAATTATATATAATATCATTAATCAGAAAAAAGGAGGAAAATATGACTTATCCTGATGTAATTTGGTGAGAGATCAGTAAATCATGCACATTACCAACATGGACTTCTTGTTGGCCTATAAAAAGTCTTTAGAATGTTACAGCACTTTAAGAAGAGTGAAGAATCTTCCTCTGTGTTTCATATGCAACATGTGTTCCTGGAGTCCTGGTGGCATGGTGGGTTACACGTTGGGCTGCTCACCACAAGGTGAGCAGTTTCAGACCACCAGAGGCTTTTTCTCCCATAAACAGTCTCAGAAACCCACAGCATCAATACTACCCTGTCCTATACGATCACTATGAGTCCGAAATGATTCAACAGCAATGATTTTAAAAATGTTTTCCTTCATGTCAACCTATTTTAATGTGATTTGGCCAGAATTTCTTCATGGTAAGAATGGGATGAAACAGATAGCAGCAGTACTCTTCAAATGAAGGAAGCACTCATGAGTTTGTGACCACTGTCAACAACCCTGAAGAAATAACTACAAAACTTTGTGACACTTTGGCAATGTCACAGCTGAAGAATAAACAGGAAAGTGAAAGGAGGGAACTTAGCATTTCTGAAGCTGGAATCCAACGGGTTAGGGAGAGTAACAAATAAGCCAGCTCTATCTATGTCACCTGGGTTGGACCCACCTGAGTAGTGAGATACGAAGATGAACTTAAAAGATCCAAGACTAGTAAACCAGGTGTATGGCAGTCATTTTAAGAACTCTAAATTAAGAAAAAAAAAAACTGGTCAAAGAAGCTTTTTCTTAAACAACTTCTGCAGCAGAGGTGAAGATTGGGCATCCCAGCAAAACTTTAAAAGTCTGTTAAACTGATGACAGGTATAACAACAAGTAGGCTCTAGAAGTGGCATTAAAATTGGAAACTAATCTGGAATAGTTGAACTTTATCTACAGCAGCCAGCCAAGCATGTCCGCACCAACCAAACAAAATCATCAGTGTTCTTTGCTAAAGAGATTTTATGGTGCATCTGAAAATAAATGCTATGAGCTTATTTTACTCACTGCTGCACCCTCAAAATCTAGGGCAGGTTAGGAATAGGTTCTCACATTTAACATATATTGAAATCATTTAGAGGGACTGTTCAAAGACTAAGAGGCCCCAACCCCAAAATTTCTGACTCAGAAGGTTTGGGGTGAGGCTAAGGTCAAGGACTTCTAATAAATTCTCCGGCGATGCTGATCACTGCTGGTCCAGGGAACACACACACACACTGAGAGCCACTGATTATAGCTGCTCAGTAAAAATAGACTCAGTAACTCCTTGAATAGATGACTGAGGGGTGGCTAGTGTGAGTGGCATAAGGTAGTCCTCATTCGAACACTGGAGAGATAAAAAAGGATAAGGCTTAAGAGTTGGCTTGGGCTATGTCTGGACAGCGTCCTGTCAGACTTCTGTGCACGAGCATCGGAGGAGAAAAAAGGGACAGCAGAAAGTTTCCAAAGCAAACGAGCATTTGACTGCCAAGACTTGACCACAGAAAGGAGAGGGGGCACCAAGCTTACCTGAAACATGGCTCACGGAAGGGAGCGAGGAGGTCAGCAAACGTCTAAATGGTAGAGCTGACAGGGAGAGAAAGGTACTGTGAGCGAAGTCATCCAGCGTGCTCGCTGGAGATTCCCGTTAGACACACCCCGCCACCGAATCGGGGAGCCGGATGGGACCAGGCAGGCGCCCGAACTCCGGCCATTCTTCCCTGCCCCGCAGCGGAACTCCAGGGGCGTAAGTCCGGCCTGCGGTCCCTGCACGGTCGAGGACGAAGCAGGGCTTTCTCCTCCCTGCCCGGGCTCCCGGCGAGCTCCTGGGGCGTGGAGGGGCTCTCGCAGGCCGCTCGTGGCCGGCGCGGGGCGCGGGCACCCTGTACCTGACGGGCGCGAAGTGGCCAGACTCCCAGCTGTGCAGCTCAAGCCCTCGCTGCCGCCGGCATCCTCTGAATTGTGCCCTCCAGAACCGGACCGCCAGGAATTCCCGAACAAGGCCGCAAACGTAAGCGAACTACAACTCCCAGAGGCGACAAAAGCCTCCACGCTATGGCGAAGGTCCCCATCCGCAAAGAACTACAAGTCCCAGAAAGCACTGGACGGACGGATGCCCGGGGAAACTTGCCGCAAGTCTGGGGCTGAGAGAAGGGCCGGTCGTTTCAGCGCTGGAGACAAATAACCCCATCCTCAGCCGACGACGGTGCCAAGAGGTCCTGCTGCCAGTCAACAGAAGGAAGGCAATGCAGACTCAGACGAATACAGATCCGACTTTTAGAACAAAAGGCTCCACCTTCCGAAAAAATACAATTCCCAGAATGCAAGAGGCCGGCGTCGAATGCGCACGCAAACAAAAGCTACGGTTCAGGGTTAACTACACTTCTTAGAGGACACTGGCGCGTGGAAGTAAAGGGCTCCGCCCCCAGACAACCGGGAGTCACAAAATTATTTATTAGGGCGCCTCAGCGGCCAGCTCCCCAAATGCACGCGGGAAACCTCTGAGAAAAGCGCTGCCAACATAGGATAAATGCTTTTCCCAGAGCCACCCCCGTATCCAGGATAAAGTCTCCATCCTTTGAGAAATATAATTATCAGGCTACAACACATTTTCGTGGCCTGCGCCAAGATATAATAGACACCCACCTAATGGAACTACAATTTCCATGAGGACAGGTGGTCTCAGGACAAACGACTCCATCCTCAAACAACTGTAACTCCAAAAGGCCCTACCACTACTCTAATGGCGAATGAAAACTGTGGCAACCAGCCTCAGGCAAATACAATTCCCAGGGCACAATCTAAGTTATTTGACAAAGAGTGGGGTTCCACCTTTAAACGACATTACTGCCAAAATGCACCTTGGCGGGGTTGAGCCTACAGCGACTTGAGATGCCAGATACACACCTTGTAAAACTACAGTTCCCAGAAAATGCAGCCACCGATCCCTTGCGATGAAAGGCTCTAGTCTCTGACAACTACAACACCCAGAATACCTGATATGGCGCCCGCCACGACTGAGGCCAATGGTCGCTCTCTTTTAGAAAAACTACAACTCCCAGAATGTCCAACACTAAATACAAAGGGGGTACACCTTGGAAAACCACGGTTCCCTGAATGCCTTGGAGCAGGTCAACTTGGCTGGAAAAATTAGCTTAGAACCTCAACCCTAGTTCCCGAAATCCAGTGCGTTCGAGGGAAAGTTGGTCTCGACCTTGAGATAACTAAAGCAGCGATGAAATGTCCAGTGGGCCTGGAGATGATGGCCTTCATCCTGATTTCCCGAGGTCCACTGCAGACTCCATTATGGCTCCACTCTCAGATGACTACAAGTCTTAAATACTACCCCATGGTCCCCACCTATGGCCACATAGGACACCTTCAGTTCAATGAACCCTGTTGTAAATGTTGCAGCAGTTAAGAGATCTCAGCAAGGTGTCAGAGGACAAACTTATTTGGCCTGCGACCAGATTCAGCTATGCCTAAGCCACTCTGAATGATTAAAGCCATGGGTTTTTACCGCGCGGTAGTTACATAATGTCGTATCTACTTGAAGTGTAGGGGTGGGGTCTAGCCCGTCAATCAGGTCACAGCTTGATGGTGCCTCCTTGTGGGCATGATTTCCTCATAAGGAGTGTCCTGGGAACAACCACCAAATGGGTCCTAGGGGCGTTTGACGAGCAAATTAAAGAAACATAAGCTATACAAGGACTCACCTTTTCCATGAAGACCAGTACCAGAGAGTGTGAATGGATATATCTCTTAACAGATGTATGTAATTTGTGGCTAGCAAGCCACGCATATACATATGTAACAGGAAGCGTTTTGTATTAGAGGCATACATACAACAGGAAGGGGACTTGCTAAGAACATACACATAACAGGAAAGTACATACATAACACAATGGGCAGGCTTTAGGGTTAAGATGGCAGCATAACCTTGGTCTCCTCTGAACTGGCTTGACCTCAAGTGTCAATGAACTCTTCTCCAGGGGAGAATTCAATGTCCTTATTAGAAGGGAGTGGCCCTTACTTAAGGTGGGGTGGTCTGACTGCTCTTGATGGCAGACAACCTTCATGCAAATAGCCTTCAAGAAGTTAACTTTCAAGCAGTGTAGCAACCATGTGCTTACAAGAAACACCTTAAAGTTGGTATTATGGGGGACATTGTGGAGAACAACTTTATTTAGGAGAATGTGACTGGGATTCATCTTCAACCAATGAACATGAAGGCCTCCCTCCACCAGTGTCTCAGCTTCCTAGACTCCTAAAAATATGAGTGTAGAGAATTTGTCCACATACTCTCTTCTCAGTTGTTTCCCGCAGGTAACAAATGACTTAGTGAATCTGACTTTATTTCATTAACATGGAAAATTAAGTTCAAGAAAGAAAAAAAAATGTCTTGGGCTTTGTAGAAACTGACTGTGTGTTTACATTACCTGAATAACCTCATTTGGAATCTTGCCACATAATTTCGTGACATTCATTTCCTTGAACCTTTTCTTTACAAAATTTTCATTGCCATCCAGTTGATGCTGACACATAGAACAAGGTAGAACTGCTCCTGGAGTTTCCTAGACTGTAACTTTACCAGTAGAAAGCCCGTCTTTTTGCTACAAAGTGGCTGATGGGTTTCACAGTCCAACACATAACCCCTAGGGCTCCCAGCCTGGTACAAAGAGGCTTCAAAACGTTCACAGAAAGAAAAATGGCAGTTGACACACAATGGCATTTTTCCATGAACCTTTTTGAAGCTCCCTTGTAGTTGTGAAAGCAATCTGTTCCTGTCATTTCCCTGCTTAATTTATGGCTAATCTTAGGTATAAAACATTTTTCTTAACAGTGTACAAAACTGCATCCTCTACATCCCTATTCTCGAGCGTTTCTTAGCCTATGCGAATCCAAATGTCATTCTTTGTGGGTCCTCGGGCTGTGAAAAATTCCAGAGCTTTTATTTCCTTGAATAAAGAAGTGGTTTTAAATAAGATGCTCTCCATAGAGAATCTGGATGATGCCACCAGTTGTCACTGACGCCAGCAGAAATAACTGACTCTGAAGTGACTGTAGAATGGATACTGGGAGAAAACAGGTGCAGCAGTAAATGTGGTTTGCCTCACTAACCTTCCTTTCTTAGGTTTTCCCCGAAGGAGGCCACCAGGCTCACAGAAGAGCAGCTCCCGAAATGTTATACAGACGAGGATCTAAGAAGAGAGAGACAGATTATGGAGGCCATGGGGATCTCTTCAAGGAAGGGCTTGCTGCCCAGTTCCAGGAAGTGTGATCAGAACACAATCTCTAGCTGTCAGGTTTCTCAGAGCTAATCACGGCAGAGTTGCTTCACCTCGGCTGCTCTCTTCTCAATGCAACCCGCTGCTGTTACGAAGCAGTGCAAATTAATAAAGGCCTGGCCACCTTCAGCTGATGAGAGACACTTTGATGTGCAATTTTTGCCTCAGAGTTCACAGTTGCTTCGTGACATTTTTGTCAACTTTAAAGAAAAAGCTTTACTTTAATGTTAGATTATTTCCTTGCCTCCCACTTTACAGGTGTTAATCTCTAATAAACACCTTGCATGTTGCCTTAGTTATCTAATACTATTATAACAAAAATACAATTGGGCAGCTTTATAAAATAAATTTATTGTCTCACAGTTGAGGAAGCTAGATGTCTGAACTCAGATTGTTGGCTCTGAAGGAAGGCTTTCTCGGTTCACTCTGGGGAAGGTGTTTAGTCTCTTCTGAACTTCTGCTCTTGGAAATCTTCACAAGGCTTGGTTTATCTCTTCCCCATGACTTCTGCTTTGCTCCACTGTTTAATCTTTTGTCTCAAAAGCGACTGATTTACATACACCCCAATCTTGCCTCCTTAGCAAAGACAGTCCATTACCAAATGGAATTTAAAACCACAGGCAGAGAGGTAAGAATCTTCAACATACAGTCTTAAAGGTATAATTCAATCCACAACACAACATGGATCTCATTAGCTGCGTCCAAAGAACTCAACCTGTGACAGTGTTTCACTTCCTCTTATTTGGTTGAGAATATCTCCATTGCCGGAACACAATTTAAACCAGCTGAAGAAAAAAAAGGTGTATCTATTAGGACATTTGGGGGATTCTCACAGAAACATTAAACGAGGCAAGAAAGGGAGGAGGTGAATCTAGATATCAACAAGACAGTTTCCTGACGCTGCCATGACGGGTTCATTCTTCTTATTGCGGACCACATGGTAGAAAACAGCCACAGGCAAACCCACATGAAAATACTACAGCTTCAGCTCCTAAAATTATGCACACACACACAAACTGTCTTAATGTTCAAAAAGATTTTTAAGAGAACAGATAAAACATGCAATGATTATATTATTATAATGAGACATATTTGTACAGGTTCGTAAAGGTCAAATAGGCATTAATAGAAACAGTCAGCTGCAAATTTTCAAAGTATAAAAAATGGTAGACATTTTATGAAACTATATGTAGGTTAATGAGGTCAGAAAATACTGTGTAGGAGGAAAGACAAAGTAGTTAAAAGTGGTGGAGAGATAGGCACAGATTTCCATAAAAGTTTTGCATACTATGAGAAGATTACACTTTACGTCAATTAACCACAAAATATGACAGGGGAATGTAATCAGAATTGCACTTAAAAACATCCATTATATACATGTGTGAAAATGGACTAAAAGAGAAGAACAAAGGCACGAGAAATTTTATATACAGTTGTTACATGATATAGATGAATTCATTAGCATTTAAAGGCCAGTATTAGGGGTTCGACATCTGAAAACATGTTGGGAGCATATTTGTAGATTATCCAACCTACTAAAATTAACAACATGGATTTTTATTGCTGGAATAACCAAAAAACATAAACAAAAACTGAGGCCTCAAATATGGATTCCAAATGTCTTGACCTGATCTATATTCTACTTAATAAAGGTACAGTTAGATGAATGAGGTATTCTTTGGGTACATCCCAGGGCTCTATAAATGATCTTGATATCAACTACAGGAACGCATGGATCTATAGAGAGATAACGGTCAGAAAATACTAAGAGTCCACACAGAAAAAATGAACAGCAGGACCTCTGAAATTTATCTCAATTTTTTTAACTATGCCTTTAACAGTACTCATAACTTGGTTAACTAAGTACAGATGGGCCTCACTAGAATTGTGCACACTTCCAGATCTAGAAGAATCAAAATGATGGCACACCGTGGGCTTCCTGTCCTGCTCCATCTCAGTGTCACTTACTGTGAGCTGCAGAATCAAAAAGCCATTTTAACATTAACATCAGGTTTCCAGACTTTCGGGAACCCAATGTTAGATACGGCCTTACTATAAAAATTACCTATAAACTTATACTACTTGACCAAAACCACCACCCCCCCCCATAACCCAATAACAACAATAAAAGGGTTAAATGGCTTGGGCAGTTTATCAAAGATACCATCCACACAGCCAACAAGCACATGGAAAGTTAGTCAACAGATTTAGTCATGAAGGAGATGGAACTCAAAACCAAAGATAGTACCCCACCCCTACTCAAATGGGAATAAGTTCCACAAAATTAAAAGTGTTGCTGAGTCTATTGAAACGGAAACTTTCGAGGCGGAACTAATTACAAGGATCTACATGTGACCTCCTCCCTGGGGGATGGATAACAGAAAAGTGGGTGAAGGGAGACTTCACACAGTGTAAGATATGACAAAATAATAATTTATAAGTTAACAAGGGTTCATGAGGGAGGGGAAAAGTGAGCTGATGCCAGGGGCTTACATGGAGAGCGGGTGTTCTGAGAATGATGAGGGAAACAAATGTACAAATGTGCTTTCTACAACTGATGTATGTACGGATTGTGATAAGAGTTGTATGAGCCCCAATAAAATGATTTAAAAAGAATCTGAAACCTCAATTCATTCCAGATAGGAATGTAAACTGAGGAAGCATTTCTGATTGCGGTGGCAGTTTGTTAGTTCCTTAAAAAACTGAACACAGACCTACCTTGTGGCCTAGCAATCACAAGTCTGAGTATAGAGCCAGAAGTAGAGGATAAAACAAAATACACCTGTAAACTACTGTTCACCACAGCACTTTCAGAATAGCCAAAAGATGGAAATAAACTAAATGTTCATCAGCTGAGGATTGGATAAACAAGATGTAGCACAAACATGGAACGAGACACTTTGCAGCTATCAAGGGGAATGCAGTTCTGGTGAATACCAAAGCATAGCTAGAATTTGAAAACATTATGCTTATAAAAATATACCAGTTGCAAAAGGGGAAAAAAAAATCAGCTCAAAAGAGAAAAAAAGAAACCAAAGATTATCAGAGAAGCCCTGGTGGCATAGTGGTTACCTGTTGGGCTGCCAAACACAGGTCAGCAGTTCACAACCACCATACTTTCTGTGGGAGAAAGACAAGACTTTCTACTGCCGTAAGGACTCTTGGAAATCCACAGGGGCGGTTCTATTCTACAGAACTGACAAATGGCAGTGCGTTTGAAGGACAGGAGGCAGGAGTAAAGGGGAGATTTTTGTTTGGGCAGCATTTATTTTAATGGTGGTGGAATGTTTTGGATAATTAACCATACTAGTGGTACAACCTGAAAGAAAATGTAATCAATGCCAATGATATATGAATATGAACGCTGTCAAAGTGAATGTCTGGTGTTCATATTTTAACGATGACAAAGAAAAGATTTTCATCTTGATGTGGTTTGTTCAAAGAATCAAGAAGAAATGTAGGGCCATGTTTTCACTGCTGACCACCAAAGTAAAAAACTAACATTATGAAACTAATTTCTAAATCAGGGCTCTTACTATACTTAAAACAGTATAGAGCTACCATGAGGTATGACACGATTTATCTGGGTACTCAGAAAAGATCAGATATTCTGATCAATTAGAACCCAGTGCTTTCTTATGAGTAACAAATACTTGGTAGAAAAGGAATATTTTGCTCTTGGGTTTTCAGCTTATAGGACTGAGTATTCAGTCCAGCGAAAAAGTAACCGCTTAACTACTTAATGGCTAATGTAATATTACAGAATTGAAGTGAGGAAAATGAGGAAAAAAATAGTGAACAAAGATTTGTGAACTTTATTCATGGTCTCCAGACTCAATCTCTGGGACTAAAGATGAGATTCATGATGGAAGGGGATAAAGTGGGGGGGAAATTAAAACAAAAAACAAAATAGGGAAAAAAAACCAAAGTAGGATGAAGAATTTTACCCTGTAACTATTTGACATGTAGGAATATCTCGTTACTACCATCTAATAAAAGGATGCTCCAAAGGTAGTGAGAAAAATAGGGCTATAAATTTGAATATGAATAAAAATTTTAAATTTGGGTTTCTTAAAAAAATGTGTAAAATTGGATTTGGCTTTGAAATCATAGTATGTTGCTTAAATTTTTTAAATGAGAGTAATCTTGTTATGGTACAGAATGTTATCCACCATAAATATGCAACAATTTATACACAAGAGAAAAAGTTTGACTCTTCCAGGTTTAAAATCAAGGTTCCATGCTGAACTCCTGAATTTCACTGCCATAACAAAAATACTTGACCTTATCAAGCGACACCATAAAGCAAAAGTAACAAAATGGTAACTTAAGACACAGTTCCCGCATTCTCACTAAGAAACATACTTACATTTGCAGGAAGGCCAAACAGGCTTCTATGAATATGTCAAAATTGTCCCCGATTGAAAATTATCTGTATTTTACATTTTCTGAATAGTGACTCTAATGTGGGTCCACCTATCTTTTCTTTTTTAACAAAATAGAAAACATGAACAACATAACAGCAATACAGTGTCCACATTTCATATTAAACTGATAACACACATTTTATGTGTTTACACACTTGACACTTGAGTGTATGAAAGTGGCGAACTAAGAGAAAGAGATTATGCACAGCACAGTATTTACCATTTACTTCATTTTTTCCTTATTCCATGGCAAGTATAATTGTTTACGCATGTTTATTAACAGTTTTACATTAGCAATTTTTAAGATTCTGAGATTATAGAAGACTTTAGTTTGTGCTTCTATCAAGAAATTGTCAAGTAAAACAAAAAAACGTGTTGCACCCATCTGACTCAGAGTAACTTCATGTGTGTCAGAGAACTGTATCCCACAAAACATTCAACAGCTGATTGCTGGAACTTAATCATTAACTCTGTTTATCCAAGTAACCAATAGGAGGATTCAAAAGGCCAACCTATTTCTTAGCAGCCAAGCACATTAACCATTTGCACCTTCTGGAGATTCTAGTAACAACAGACCTATTAATTACATGTGCAAACAAACAATAAAATGGACAAAGTATTGTTACAGACTATTCGGCAATTTGGTTAGATGCTGTTAAATTGACTTTGCCTCATAATGACTCAGTTTGGAAGATTAGAGATTCCCCACATGAATTTTTGTTTTTGTTTTTAAAGGCTGTAATCTTTACAGAACCAGATTGCCAAATCTTTCTCCTAAGGTGCTACAGGGTGAGTTCAACCAAGCAACCTTCCAGTTAGCATCCAAGCACCTAACAGTTTTGCTACTAAGACTCCTTTAATTAGACATAAGTCCTAATACATCAGTGCCACTTTCATATTATTAAAATGGCAGTTTGACACATCAGAGTCAGTATAAGGCATATGCATTTCATGTGCCCAGTTATAATATTCAATTATGTAATTATACATATGATTCAGTGAAAATATGCCACAAATATTACTAAAGAAATTCTTATTCAGATATCGCAATGAAATAATTAATTCACATATCTTAAAAGATACTTAATTCAAAATGGACAACTGTCAAACGTTTAGAATTGGGTATTTTTGGTACCCATGTCAACAAAAAGTAGATTCCTTTCCTTACAGCATTACTTGTAATGGAAAATGTTTCCAGTGTCTTTCAGCTGTTAGGTTATTCCACAACATGAATTCTCCAAAATAGCTAGATCATGTGCAGAAGTGAGCTCCCCATTTAAAATTTTCATGTAATATCAATTCTGAACGTCTGAGTGTATAAATGAGTTATCATTCCCTGAAGATTATAGCTCACTTACTACCTAGCACGTTAATCATTCATAGTGGCAGAAGTATTATCAATGTGGAAAATTCCAACGGTTAATAAAATCTGATCTCAAGAAAGCTTTTTGATATTCAAAGGAGGCATAGGTTTTCTCCTTATGAATTATCTTTTGTACGAATGTTGACTACGCTTGTAAATCTTGAAATCCAATGCATTTATAAGCTCATTCTACACTGAGTTGATATTTATGTATGCTTAGCTGCTAAAACCTAGATAACCTTGTTTACTACTATAAGAGAATTATGACACATTACTTGGTAACTGTTATCTGAACAGTTGACAATAACTGCACTTTCAGTGGACTATCTGTCAAATACTAAGAGCTGTAGTTCTATGACTTCTTTTTTGTGTGAGTTCTCTGATGATTAATGAGCTGTGACTTCTGAGAGAAGGCTTTTGAGCATTCACTACATTGATAAGGTTTCTCTCCTGTATGGATTCTTTGATGATTAACAAGCTGTGACTTCTGAGAGAAGGCCTTCCTACATACACTGCATCCATAAGGTTTCTCCCCTGTATGGGTTCTCTGGTGTGGAATGAGATGTGACTTCCGTGAAAACGCTTTGCCACATTCATGACATTCAAAAGGTTTCTCTCCTGTATGTATTCTCCGATGATTAATGAGACTGGACTTCTCCCTGAAAGCCTTTTTACATTCATTGCATTCATAGGGTTTTTCTCCCGTGTGAGCTCTCTGGTGCCTAATTAGCTCTGATTTGTCAAAGAAAGCTTTCCTACAAAAACTGCATTCATAGGGCTTCTCACCTGTGTGAATTCTCTGGTGAGTGTTGAGCTGTGATTTCTGGGAGAAGGCTTTTTCACAGTCTCTGCATTCATAAGGCTTTTCTCCTGTGTGAGTTCTTTGATGAGTGGCAAGACTTGACTTCTCACCAAAAGCTTTTCCACATTCACTACACTCATAGGGTTTCTCTCCTGTATGCGTTCTCTGATGGGATATAAGATGTGACTTCTGACAAAAGGCCTTCCCACACTCACTGCACACATATGGTTTTTCTCCTGTATGAATTCTTTGATGATTTGTGAGGCTTAATTTTTCACTGAAGGCTTTGCCACATTCACTGCATTCATAAGGTTTTTCACCTGTATGAGTTCTCTGATGTCTAACCAACTGAGATTTCCTGCTGAAAGCTTTCCCACATTTATTGCATACAAAGGGTTTTTCTCCTGTATGTGTCATCTGATGTGATATGAGATGTGACTTCTGAGAGAAGGCTTTCCCACACTGAAGGCAGCCATGAGGTTTCTCTCCTGTATGAGTTCTCTGGTGGTTAATAAGACTTGACCTTTCTCTAAATGCTTTCCTACATTCACTGCATTCGTAGGGTTTTTCCCCAGTGTGGATTGTCTTGTGTCTAACAAGCTCTGATTTCTCAAAGAAGGCTTTTCTACAATCACTGCATCCAAAGGGTTTTGTTCCTGTGTGAGTCCTGTGATGTGTAATTAGCTGTGACTTCCTGCTGAAAGCTCGCCCACATTCTCTACATTTAAAAGGTTTCTCTCCTGTATGAATCCTTTGATGGTTGATGAGGTTTGACTTTTCACTGAAGGCTCTCCCACATTCATTGCATTCATAGGGTTTTTCTCCTGTGTGTGTCCTCCAGTGAGACAGCAGATGGGACTTCCTGGAGAAGGCTTTTCCACATTCACCACATTCATATGGTTTCTCTCCTGTGTGTGTCCGCTGATGGGATGTGAGCTGAGACTTTTGGGAGAAAGCTTTCCCACACTGGCTACAGTCATATGGTTTCTCGCCTGTATGAGTTCTACGATGTGTAACAAATTGTGACTTCTGGGGAAAAGTTTTGCCACATTTACCACAGTCATAAGCTAATTCTTTTATATGTCTGCTCTGATGTTTCATGAGACTTGATTTCTTGGTGAAACGTTTCCTACATTCAAAACATTCATAAAGTTTCTCACCTAAACGGGTTTTGTGATAGATGACAATCTGTGATTTCCTGAAGTTTATTTTATCATATTTATCACATTCATATTTTAACCAAGGATTCGTTTCCTCAGGCTTGGTGTGGCGAAATAACTTATCAAAGACATTGAAGTCATCAGGCACTGTTTTTTTATAATCAGCATTTGGATTAATTAAATCTAAATGATGTTTTAAAATTATTCCATCTAAATCATCTTCACTGTGTGATTTCCTTACAGGAACAAAACTCATGCTCAGATTAATTTTTTCCCCACATGTATCACATTCATGACTTTTCACAGTTTTCAGTTTATCCTGATGCAGGTTATTCTGATGCCACAGAACATGACCATCTACTTGCCAGACGTGTTCTATAAAGAAAACAAAAAAAACCTGTAAATTTTCCTAAGCCTGGGATTCCTGAACAAAACATGAGAAATGTTATGCTGCTTTTAAAACTGTTTCTTAGTCTGAAAGAAGATGCAACAATGTCTGTGCCCTAAGTAATAATATCACCTTTCAAATGTGCTTGACACAATTGATGTACGTATGGATTGTGATAAGAGTTGTATGAGCCCCTAACAAAATGATTAAAAAAAAAAAAAATCACCTTTCGTTGTTTAACATGTTTAATGAAAGAATGTTAAAAATACATTAAGGGCAATAAAGGCAAACAAGAATTGCTCAAAGAAGTATTGATCTCAAGCAGAAAGCAAATGTTTTGTGAATGATGATGGCAACAAATGTATAAATGTGCTTGACACAATGGCTGGATGTATGGATTGTGATAAGAGTTGTATGAGCCCCCAATAAATTGATTTTTTAAAAAAAGAGAAAAGAATATATAACAATAGCTTAAATAATAGAAAAGATGATACATGGAGTAGTTCAGTCAATATAGTTCATTAAAGTTCCCTATGATTTAAAAAAAAAGAAGTATTGATCCAGTCACCTCACAGATTAATTCAGCAATACCCAATAAATGCCTACTATGTTCTAGGCAGTGTGTGATATGCAGAAAGACACAGAAAGAACAGGCCCTTGCCATTAAGAAACTTATATTCTAGTAAAAAATATACACAATAAACAAGTAATACTAAACAATGTAACTAATCAAAGAAAATGAAGCGATTTGATAGAGTAATTAGCAATAGGCAATTCACGAGCAAGGATTTAGAAATATTACTTGTGCTTTGCCCTCACTCTCTTATTGTCAGAAAGTTTTATTGAAACTAGCTATAACTGTACATAAACTAAAGGGGAGTCATTTCATCAGAACAAGAAATACATGTTTTATGGTGAGAAATGGTGTGCAACAGGGTAGGATCATTTTATCATTCTTATTCAATCCATAAGCTGAGCAAACGGTCTGAGAAGCTGGACCATACGAAGAACAGCCAATCAGGACTGGAGGGCGGCTCATAAATAATATGGACTACAAAGATGACATAGCCTTGCTTGCTGAAAGCTAAGACGACTTGAAGTACTTACTGATGGTCAAACACAACAGTATTTAGTATAGATTAGACTGCAATATAAAGAAAACAAAAGTCCTCTTTTTTTGGAAAACAAAAGTCTTTATATACTTAGACCAATTAAAAAAAAAGACTGCAGCTGTCAAGGTTTTCATTTTACTTAGATACATAATCAACACTCGTGGATGCAGTGGTCATTAACTCAAATTAACAAATGTTACTTTGAAAATACTATAGTTTGGTTCTAGTGCACACCTTAGTTCTCAATCACCTCAAATTTATATGAGATGTGGGCAGTGAATAAGACCAAACAATACATGGTTCATTTGAATTATGGTGCTGTCAAAAAAGACTGAATATGCCACAGACTTACAGAAGAATGAATAAATATGTCTTGGAAGTATAGTCAGAAAGTTCTTTAGAAGCAAGGATGGCAAGATTTCATCTGGACATACTATGAGAAAAAGCCAGTTCCTAGTGAAGAACACCATGCTTGTCAAGTAGAAGGTCAAGGCAAAAGAGGAAGAACCTCATCGAGATACTCTGACACGGCGGCTGCAACAATGGGCTCAAATATAACAAGAACTGTGCTGATGGCCCAGGACCAGGCACCGTTCTGTTCTAGTATGCACGAGATTGCTATCAGTTGAGACAACTCAACGGCACCTAACAACATACATATCTTCAACAACATTACCAAGAAAGCAGTATCATGAAACATATTTGCTGTTCCTTCTGGGAGACTTCACACAGCTTGCTCCCTGCACATGTTTTATGTCTAGAGCTGGTTTTCCCATGCTATCCTGTACCATATCTCTTAAATATGGCACTCTCTGAGAGAAAAGCAAGTATAAGGAAGCATGCATAAGAATACCTCTAGACTCTCTTTCTGATTCCACATCACTGTCATACATGTTAGCTGTGAGTACAAATGACATGCTTAGTCATGTGATTTTTTCACACGACACTCTGATCATGGGGGCGTTCTTTCCCAAAACCCATTTCCATTGAGTGGATTCCAACTCATAGCAATCTTAAAAGAGGGGTTCCAAGGCTTTGAAATCTTTACAGCATCAGACAGCCTCATCTTTCCCTTATAGAGCTGCTGGTGGGTCTGAACAACTGACCCTGTGGTTAGCAGATCAACACTTAGCTGATAACTACACCAGAGCGTGTTGAGAGCAGTCTTAGGCTACCCCAAAAACAGTGCTTATTTGTATAATTCTGGCAGCTAAATTAAAAGATGATGTGCAACAAACATAAGCATTTAATGCTTAAATATTGAATCTTCTCAACTAAGTTATATGCTTCTGAAAGCAATTTCCCAGATTACTAAACTTTACGTTCCTTTTTAATAATAATTAAAGCAGTGGGCCTCAACTAGATGGGGTACATAAAAATCA